AAGCTTGCTGAAAGGATAACTGTGGCATCACATGTTCTCTGGAATTGGCACGAAAGGAAGAACTGGTGACATGAACCTTTTTCTCTTCCTCCTTTTCCTGTACCATAAGGGTCTTGCAGATATGGGAAGAAGCATGTGTTCTCCATGAGGAGACTTCATGACTTTCATGACTTCAAGATACTTTATTGAAGATTAGATCAGCTGCCCCTCCACACAACAGAGTTTCATGACTTCAAGATTCTTTATTGAAGATTAGATCAGCTGCCCCTCTGAAAATTGCCTCTGTGGGGAGATAGGTCTCCTAATTTAGGGACAGAATACTTATTCACCCAATAAACATACTGTATGTCTGTTTTTCTTCCCCTGCTAATACTGCATGAGACCCAGAAGCAATGGGGGGGCAAACCTGTTCATAATGTCTCTTCTTTCTTCTGATGTAACTCCTTCACTTTCCTATTTTGTTGATTTGGAAGAGAAATTCAGGGAAAGCAAATTAACACTCCAGATCCATTCTGATTTAACTGCATTGAGATCCCTGAAAAATTGAGGAATCCCTAGTTTTAGCAGTGACAGTGTAAGGAATGACAAGAACACAAGTTGCTTTTCAGATAATATATATTCTGACTGGCAGCTAAGACTACTCTCACTCTCCAGGTAATCTTGTGAGAAATATGGAATGTGTTGATTTGTTTTGGAAGCACTTACATTTTTGATTCCGTTGCATATGAAGTCAAATGTGAAATCTGAATTTAACTATTTCTGAGGAATGTTCCAGAGTATCCCCATTCATTAAGTGTGGTGTAAATTGCTCAGTTAAAGAAGTCTAAAAGAAATCTTAAACATTTTCTAAAATAGGTTCAAAATCCATTTAGGAATTAGTTACACATATTATATAGTTATGGACCAGTTATGCAGATTTATCTTAGGTTGAAATCAAACAGATATGGCATAGTGTATGTAATAATGACATAAAACAATGAGACTACAGTTCTGTGTGTAATTACACTCAGTTTAGCAATCTGAACTTCTCAAGATTAAATAATAATTTCAAAAAAGATGCTGAACCCCTTCGAGGCATCACAAACTCTTCAGTGATAAGTTCCCTGCTCAGTGATTAATTCCTTGCAGGAAGTATCAGTTTGAAGAACTATTGAGCCTTCTCACATGTTCTCTTAGAGTGATAGGATTAAATCCAGTAATTAATCCCAGCTAGATTAGACCCAGTGCATCAGTGGAGGTTTACTTTTATCTTGACTACGAAGTACCGTTCAATCAATTATGGGATTTAGTTCACATAGCTTTTCTAAGAGGTAGTACATAATACAGGTAAGTGTGTGGGGTATGAGCATTGTGAAAGCTTACATTATCACAAAAAAGGCCCTATGCTACACCTGCAGAGAGCTAGTATATAAATTTTCTGAAAGGGCAAAATGATTTTAACCTGGATCACAACACAGGAAACCTTACCGTATATTTTAGTGTTTGACCTTCAGGTGTATCTTTGGACTCATAGCTCAGTTAACCTTAGATTTCAGGTTTATAATTGTTTAATCTTTTCCTTCCCTGATATTTGACAGGTGATAAATATTTAATTAAGCACCTAGAAATTATGCATTTGGTGTTCTCTAGATATTCTTTTAAAAGTGCTGAAGGGCGTTGGAACATCTGGCTTATTATTATCTCTTCCCAGCTTCAGTTACCATTTCAGTCTAGGTAACTACTTAACATTCATTCTTAGTAGATTTTCAACCTGAATATACATTGTAGTGTCCATATATGTATGTGATCTTTGTGGACTTCCTGTCCATGAATTTGAACCCTCCATGTAATCATAGCTAGGTTATGAATCTAACATCAACCCCCACCCACCCACCGACACAAATACACACTTCTGTGAGTGATTATGTGGGGCATGACAAATATCAGAATCATGTTGCAGTGTGAATCTCCTCAATAATAACTGTTCTGGAAATTGTGGCCCCATACACATCTGGAAGACACCAGGCTGGAGAGTTCTCTTGTAAATGAATTTAAAAGGTGACATTTCTCACCGTAACATTTCCTTTGGTTTATTCTAGCTAGTATGTAAAGGGTAGAGAGTTGGATTTTAAGTGCATGTGTCTTAACAAGTAGTAAACTTTACTCAGAGGTCCTCAACATTCTCATCTTCTGTCATAGGACAGGCACTGTGCCAGAATTTCTATATTTTTGCTTCAGATGTGAGATGATAACATCATTCTTCTAGGTTTTTCTGGAACCTTAGTTGGAAAGCATACTGATTATAAACTTACAAATACAATTTGATGACTAAGGACCTTTCTGCTGCTTTTTTCTTCTAATTGCATTCATTTTATTATGAATTGATTGTATATGGTTGTGTACTAGTGTCAATAAAATTGACATTTGTGTAACAAGCAGTGACTTTTCTCTAAGATTTTCCTGAGCATCCATTTAAATTCATTTCCTTAAGGGAATAAAACTAACAAACAAAATCTTTATTTAAAGTAAGCATCACATTTCATCTGTCTAATCATAACATGCAATGTTGACATGGTTTGGAATATAACATTCCGTTTGATGCTGGTAATGGCAGCAGTAGAGATAGGCACTTACTGTGGTTCACTGCAGTTCAGATGATCAGGCCCACATACGTTGTGCAGGCACTTTAGATTCTGTGCCCTGCCTTCTCCTGTGGGCACCCCAACAGAAGCAGTGGTGTGGGCTTCCCTGCCCCACTTCCTCCTCTGAGTTGGCACCCCACCAGAAGCAGTGGTGTGGGCTTCCTTGCCCCACTTCCTCCTCTGAGTGGGTGCCCATAGGAAGAATCTGGATGCAGAATCTGGGGTACATGCACAACCTTTGAGGGCCCAATCAGCCAAACTATGCTGAACCACCAAACAGTGGTAACTGCCCATCTCTGGGCAGCAGAATAAACATGTATTTCACTGAAGTGTACACAAAAATACACCTACTCTGTAATTGTGTAGATATTTGGTGCTGTGTCAAATGTTATTGATGTTTCTCAAGATATATTGGCAATCTGTTTGCAACAGAAACTCACCATTTTGAACATGCAGCATTACAAGGATTTCTCATACGTTTTAATACTGTCTGTTGCTAGCTGTAATGACTGGAATCATATATATTCCTGGAAATCAAAATCTTTTTGGAAAATATGAAGGAAAAGAAAAGCCAAGGGTTGCAGAAGTGTATGGTTAACAATACACAGTGGTGCCTCACTTGACGAGGATAATTCATTCCGTTCAAATCACTGTTAAGCGAAATCCTCGTCAAGCGAAACAAAAAAGCGCATTGAAATGCATTGAAAACCGGTTCGATGCATTCCAATGGGCTAAATACCTCATAGTAAAGTGAAGATCCTCCATAGGGTGGCCATTTTCTGGTGCCTGTATAGCGAGGAATCCATCCTAATGCACAGCGGGGAGCCATTTTGGACAGTGGGCGGCCATTTTAGAGCTGCCGATCAGCTGTTTTAAAATTGTCGTCTAGCAAAAAATCGGTTCCTGAAGCAGGGAACCGATCATTGTGAAGCGAATTTTTCCTGTTACAACATTGTTTTGCGATCGCAAAAGCGATTGCAAAAACCTCATTGTCAAGTGGTTTAGTTGTTTAACAAGGTAATCCTTAAGCGAGGCACCACTGTATACTAAGTGTGTATAGGCTTAATTTCTGCTTTCATTATGACAACATAGAACACAAGATGTTTATGTTCTGCTATTCCATAATCAGTAATCCAGCTATTTCACAAGAATCGGGCAGATCTGAAACCATTTTTCATTGTTTCACTTCATATAGCCACTGATGTGTACTATTGGAGTTTTGTTTTATGGACTGAATGAGGCTTGACAACTGTAAAAATTGTCTTACTACATGCTTTTAAAGTCGTGCTTTTTATATGACTGTCGTGTGAGCATTTCCACCTCAAAACAATCAGATGAGCATGGAGTAACTCAACAAGGTACACTGTACTCACTTCTCTTGTAAGTAGCAAGAGGGCTTGAGTAGTTTCCTCCCTTTGTCCTAGATGTGACTTTGACATAGTAATTCACCTTTCCCCACCACCACAACTAGACTCTGTTCTTTCTCATGCCTTATCTTAGCTTCTTGTGAAGAAATCTTAGTAAGCTGCATTGCTAGATTTTTAAGTTTGTGGGAGGGTTAAAAATATGATAACCCTGGGGTAACTCTTGTTGTTGTATACATTTTGTTGTATACAGTTTTTGTGAACTAAAGCCAGCTATAAAGCACTGAAATAATTAACCACTTTGACAAAGGTCCTCTTTGGACATGATTCTTCCCTCCCACACAACTTGACTCAGGGTGAACAAGTGCTTCTTTTCTGGCCTGTGCTCAACATATAGAAGATATATAGAAGATACTGATTGAAATAAGGTGTCTAATTTATTCTGAGTGTGGAATACCCTACCTCCTTTTTTTCTTATGTATGCAGAATAAATTTTTTTCTAACTACAGTTATTATTAACTGAAGCCACAGTTTGATCTAGATTTGTGGTTAAAATGAATTGGTTTCCTTTATTGGGATGTGGGGAAATGTTTCTTGGAACTTGCAACCAGAAGCTTTAAACTACTTCATGGAGGAGGGAAGTAGAAACCTTGGCAAGTTATTTAATCAGAACTGGGTCTAGGTCTGCCTCTCCAAGAAGAGGTTTTTTAAAAAGCCATTGCATCCACCATATCTGTTGCCTGTAGTGTCTGAAGCAGTTCTGACTTGATCCATCACATGTCAGGAAGGGATCTGTTCATGGAACAAGCAGGCAGTTTTTTCCCGTTGCCACCCATACAGTCGATTTTACTCAAGTCATTTCTCCAGCTAGCCTCAAAAAGGGTGCAGCACTTCCAGATGTCAGGAGTTACGATGAACTTGAGGGGACCAGCCTTATTTGAAAAGACTGAAGACCTAGAAATTTTCATATACAGTAAGAACAGTGTTTCTGAAATTCACTGTGTTGTTCCTTCAGCAGGCTCACTTGCTGGTAGCCCTCACCTTTCTGAGCTGTCAATCAATTCCCAAAGTGGACCAGCCATGGCAAACGCAACTTTATCTCCTAATTTGAGCCCTGATAACAGGCAGGCATCTCCGTTGGTCAGCCCTCTGCTGAATGACCAAACCGGTGTCCGGACAGATGATGAAGAAGAGGTCAGGAGAAAGGTACTGATGCTGACTCTGTAATTTTGATTGTGTCGTTCAGGATGCTGAGAGTATCTGAGATTTCACTTCTAGCACTTCTTCAACCACATAGTTGTCCGCATAGAGTCATTGAGGTGGAAGAGACCACTGAGGCCATCCAATCCAACCCCCTACCATGCAGGAACATCCATCAAAGTTCAAATTTGCAGATTATGATAATTCACTTAAGAAGGTGGTGTGAATGAAATTCTCCTTAGTTCTTAGTTGGGGCCAAAACCAGACACAGGTGGGCTAGAGGCAAAGTTGATGTGACCACTGTCTTTTCTCGCTCTCTTGCCACATCTCTCCCCTCCTCCCCCCCAGCCATCATACCTCTTTCTCCATCCATTTTCTTTTCTTTCTTTGTCATGGAGGGTCAGATTCCTTTAGCTAGAAGTCTGAACTCTTCGTTTACAGAGAGGTTTTGAAATTGGACTGATGGCCCCTTGTGACTGTGGGCCTTCAGCTGGCTATTTTATGCACACTTTTCCATGTTTGTTTGTTTCATCTTAAAAACAGAAGAAAAATGAGTGAGAAAAACATAGGGTGATGTTGTATTTGCATGGGTAATTGATGCCATTTAGATTTGTATAATTGTGGACGATGATTCACATATCTATCACAAATATGTTGTTCTTAACTGTGTGCCTTGAGCACCACCTTCTTCTGAGCTGGTCTGCTTAGCCTGAGGAATCTTCCCTAATGTCTCTGATTTTGAGCTGTGTAGTCAGCAGAATCCCATGGTGCAGCTCTTGCAGGATTGTAGTATTCAGAGCAAGGATGTAGAATTGCATTGAAACGGAACACATAACACTAGGCTAGGTGGTTCCTTTATAGGCCTGTTGCCTATTTGTGCATATATTTTTTTGGTAATGGCCACACAGCTCCCGCATTTTATCTTAACATAACACTAAGGAAAGAACAGAGACATTCCTTCACATTTTTCCTTAGCTTATGGAAGTTGGATACCATTTTGCTTTACTTGTGCAAAATCTCTTTATTCCTCAGAACTTTCTGTTGCCATTCATGAATCACAAAATTAACGCTAACATATAAATTTCTGAGCTACGCATAGGATCTTGGTGCATAGCCTGAGGAAGATGACCTGTCATCAAAAGCTATCTGTGTTGTTTTTAGTGGTCTGATAAATATATCACGTGCTCTTGCTTTTGTATTGTTTTGGCAATCACATAGTCTTAGTTTTTATTTATTTTTTTTCCAAAATTCACTGGGTTCTCGGAATTTTTAAATCTGCTACTTAACCCCTGTTGTTTCCTGGTTTGGCTACAAAAATGACTCTGCATGCAAACACGTCTACTTCTTCTTGCTTGTGTTTGCAAACACAGTGAGAGCAGTGTGAATCCCCTATCCTTATTGCACCATGTTGCTGCAATAGTAGCAGTTGTTATTGCAACCAATGATAACTGTCGGAACCTAGAGCAGATGTCTGTAACTAAGAAGCCATATGGTTCTAGCTCATGTTACATCACACATAAATGTTTATTAGAAGTATCAAATGCCATGATTATTTATACTGATTTTCTTCTGGATGAAAGATTTAGGATTGAGTTTCAGAAATATACAATATTTCACTACAAAATATATATATCAAAATGTATTTTGCTCCAGAAGCATATAATATTAGAGGAGCGTACTTGATGTCCTAATATAACCACACAGGAAAGCTGAAAATGTGACAGATTTCCCCCGCCGCCGGAAAGAAAAGAGCTCTGATGTTGTCCACCCCAGAAGCCCTATAAATACAATGAAAACTTCCCTGGGTATAACTACAATGGATGGTGTTTCCATTACCAGTAGAACCCAAAACTTCAGTGGGGTGACAATATGTATCTCCCAGAGGCTAGCCCTGCTAGTGCCTGTTCTCTCCTCATACTTAAATAGCTTTGACTATAAATTAAGCTATTCGCTTTAAAAGCCTATAAATCCTTCTCCTCCCACTTCTGTTTCATCCAGCACAACTCAGCAGGGACTTGGAAGCATGGAAACACCATGTATTCCTTCCTTCCTCACTGTCCCACATTGTCTTAGAATCACGCTCTAAGATCAGATATTTCAAAAATCAATCAGCGGTGCCAGCCTTTTCAATGTGACTGGCCTGTTCTCAGTGGGAAGCAGCGGTGCTCCAGCCTGCCCCTTGTCTACGCAGAGCTCACACATGTGCACTTGTGCACTCGTGCCGGTTACAGGGAGATGCAGGGGCAGGCCGGAGGCGCTATGGTTGCGCTTCAGCCGTACAATGGTGACAATGAATAACACCTTTTAGTTGGTCTGTGGAAGGTGTGCAGAAGAGGGGGTAGTCTTATATGGCGAGTATATAACAAACTCTATATTTTGAGAGGAAATGTGGGGGGGGGGTCGGATTATACAC